CCTGTGTGGTTTCTCTGGCTCTGTTATAGAGAAAACATGAATAGACCCACTGCCACCCAAAAGCATGTTGTAAAAGTCGACTAATTGGGAGCTTTCATTAAAGTCAGAGTGCATCAGCCTGAGAGGCAAGGAATCAAAAGTCTGCATACAAATAAGTCAGATATGTAAAATGGAAGGTGCATGCAACCCTCAGGTTCTGGAACAGGACCACAGTCCAGAAGTGGACGAACAACCAGAACATTCCGCTGGAAACTAATCTGCAACTTTCAGAGCCTGAAGCGAACGGCTTGACCACTTATCAGATGAGACCCTCTGAAGTTTAGATGCTTTAGGCATGTAAACGTACGACATGATACATCACATTTAGAATGTTTTGTTAGGTGTAAGAATAGTCATGTACCATAATGTATCACTTTGAGGTTATCTTAATGTTTTTCATTATTGTAGAAACATTCATTTAATAACTTAATGAGATGCCTGAGAAAAGCTGCCAACTTAACCACCCAAGACAAAGTTAGAAATGATATTATCAGGCAGACTGTGAGAACAACACCCTGCAGCAAAGTTATTAAGAAACAGAAGATGAAATGGTTTGGTCATCTAGTAAGAATGCAGCCAGAACAACTACCAATGCAGGTGCTAGCTGCACATGAAAAAAGATTTGATGTGAAAGCAAGAGGTCGTCCTAGAAGAAATGAATTGATAAATTAAAGAGCTTTTACATGGAATGACAACAGCCACTGCTGCCCTTCAAGCAATCGATCGCAAACTGTTCCTCCCTACGCCGCGTAACAGCAGAAGTATAAATTAATGCCGATAATGATTTAATAACTTAGATTGAGAGTTTTTATACATAACATTCCACTGACATTAGTAATTACAGCTTTGTCAGTTCTTCGTCTTTTGCATTCTGATGGCACATTCTGTTGTGTACAGCTAAGCTGTGATATTTGCCCTTTTTGACTCAACATGTCAAATGTTAGCAAACGTTTACTTAGTACTTTTTTAAACAACATGCTTGTTAAGGGGGCATATGTTGAAATGATTTGTTACAGCACAATGGGTCTATTACCCCCACCTCCACACAGATAGAGCCCTGGAACTGACCTTTGGAATAGTGCAGTCAAATTGAAATGTTAATATCTAGATTGCATAGTTGTTTGACAAATCAGTTTTCTTATTACTCTTTATATTGTTGGAAGCCGCCATAGTGTAGCAGCTAGATACTCACCTACAGATCTGAAGGTCATGGGTTTGTTCACAAACGGAACTATTTAAAAAAATACATATGACCTTTTTTCCTACGTGGGCCCAGCCTTAAATGAGTACTGGGTAAAGTCCTGGGAAGTAAAGGTGTTGGCCTAATGTCTACCACATTACCCACCGAGTGCTGATTGGTCTATAAAGTCTAGCCCTATATGCCCACTATGTCTGAAGGCATGGAAAAAGGTCCTTTATGCCACAGAAATAATATCTGCCATTCTTAATAGCTAATCTAGGATGACTGTAATTAGATCTGTTTCTTGTATTGCTGACCTCATTGTACTGTACAGCTCCCTTGATCTGTGTATCACATTTATGTCAGTAATTACAGATGAGTTCTTTCTCCTCTGTGTCACGTTAACTTCTATATGTCTATGGATGTGGTATATTTTATTTGCCATTTAATAATTTTATTTGAAAATAGTTTCTGCCATGCTGGTTTTAAGGAGTAAGAATATTCCAGAAACTGAAATAAATTATCTGAAATATGAAGTGTTTTTTGTTTTTTTGGTTTTCTTTCGATTGTTTTTTAATCTTCTATTTTTCACTTTGAGAATATTGTGATGACCGGAAAAAAATCACTGGTAGAAGAGTCAGAGCAAAAGAAATGATGGTGGATGGCTTAAGACAGTGGCATGGAGGAATATCATCAGTGGGACTGATCCAGAACACCAAAGATCGAGATCTGTGGAGATGTATGAACGTCTATGCCAAATAGCAAGGTACTTGATGATGATGATCTGTCACCTACCATTGGAGCACAGACCACAACCATCTAGCCAAGCCACGTGTATGTTCATTATTGGTTGGAGTTAGATCAACTTGTGGACTCACCGCTAAAACAGCCCTGCCATAGATGGTGTTGAGTCAAGAATTGACATCACAGCACTCGAGGCATTCCCATGCATGCTCTGTCTTCATCTACAGCAGCCAGCGCAGAGTTCCAATACTGATAGTATCCGTCACAATCCGGTTATATGTCCGTCTTGTCTTACCTCTGAGCGTAGTGAGACGGCTAGACCCTCTGGTTACTCCCAGGTGCCTCATTCTCTCCAGGCCATAATAAACTTGTTTCTCTACCGATTCTGTTGCTTGTTCCCAAAGGGCCTTGACTACATCTGCCTTGTCATGTATCAATTCACCACCCAGTGTTGGAGATCCAGCGAATCTGTCTGCCTGTTCATTACCCACTACGCCGGAATGACCTGAAGAAAAGATGCAAAGTATGCTCACTATCTCTGACCTTCCCAGTGAAGCTTGCCACTCTGCTCGAAGCACCTCTGTCTTCACCTTTTTCACCATAGATGGTGTTGCTGTATGAAGGTTAAAAATAACAAATGGAATAGGGACAGAGAAGAAAAGAATTGCAGACAGGCTGACAGACATGCAGAGTACCTGTGATGGCAATCTGGGGTACTGCCACGAAGAAATTTGTCACTGCAGGGCCAGATTTAGACTGCATAAAACCCTTAGTTATATAAATCCCTGAGGCTCCTACCATTTTAAATAACGCCAGTTAATCTCAGAAAACTTAAAAATATGTACACCTTTTAAAAATGTGAACAATGCTAATATATTGTCTTTTATTACTGAGTAAAATAAATAATAAAGAATGGGTTTAAAAAAAATCTTGTGCTCAGTGGACTAAACTGCCAACACAGCTTCATCTAGAATCCTAGGGGACTGAACTGCCTACACAGTTTCATCTTATTCTCGAGTTCCAGTTCCTGGCTTTCCCCAGGATATTTATTTCCACGTTCCCAGATGTCCCACCAGTCCATTGGCTAGACATCGACCTGGCTGCTTCAAGATACGAAGATATTTGATTTTGTGTATTTGTGTAGTATTGTCTAATGTGTGTATGTGCTGATGAAGGCTCCATAGCTGCAACATTTCTTATATTGTGAAGCTCGCTGATGTACTTTTCGTTCGGGTTTTATCTTTCGTTGATGCTTTAAAAAAAAGGAGGAGGGGTGTTTGTTGAAGCCCCTGCATGTTGTGAGGCCTTAAGATGTAGTTTATTTAGCTTCTACCTAAATCCAGCACTGTTACTATCACTTTTGTCTGTATTTACCACTTTTTAGGGCGGTGTAGAGCTTGAGTATTTAGGGTCGCATGGCTAGTGCTGTTGCCAAGGACTGTTCAGGTTAGGATGTTAATTTTTACCCCAGCAGAAAAACTTCTATAATGAGGAGTCGAACCCGGGTCTCCTGCAGTTGTTACTATTCAGCCAGTCTTATCTCTTAAGAAATTATGGAGTAAAAAAGGGGGTAGAGATCCAGAGATCAGCTGCTTTCTAATTTTCTAGGGGTGCAGGATCAGAGAGCTTAAGCCTTGTTTAAGCACACCATAATAATTGTAAATATGCAATAATTAATTAGTTATTAATTAATAATTATTATTATCTGCATGGCAAATAAATATATTCCACAATGGTACTTCGGAATAGATACTTAACCCTTTCCTTAACTTTGGACATATATACTAAACACATTTCTTCATAAGAAATAGAGAAAGACTGATTAATCCCTTGCTTTAGAAAAAAAAATTTTGTTTATTGGCATATTATACATAGATGGGGTTGATTATATAAATGAAAATGTAACCTCACTTTGTCTTCCTGAGAAAAGTTGAGTGCCTACAAGGATAGTACTAAGAAGGAAAGGAAGGAGATTATATTGTTTGGTCCAAACTTTGGAAGGAGTGTCTCCTTCTAATAAAACTCTTGGAATTAAAAGGTTTGGTATTTTGTCTTTCGTTTCTGTGATATCTTTTCGCTACTTGGACCTGGTCAGGGCTCAGTAAACAGTAAACATCAGGTTTGACTTTTGCTAAAAATCTGCTCAAAGAACATTGCTTCTGCCTTCTCCTCGAGAATATTTCATAAATGTTTCATTGGTCCATTCCGGTTTTATGATTTATTTAACGGATCAACATCACGGCACACGGGTGTAACCCATAAGTGCTCCGTTCTTTTTCTAACTCAAGCCTCAGCCCAAAGAATCTCAGCGCAGTGGACGAACTCTTGCACCAGCGAAAATCCTGAAATACTTTCGGTAGATTTTCAACTTCAAATTTTGCTCCAGCAGCGCCGTTAGGCTACACTTTTCGATTTCCAACTGCCAAGGGATCTTTTATGTGCGCAACAATACACACGGGCGTCCGGTCTTACTACCCAGAGACCAGAAAAAATCAAATCCAAGCCTTCACTGGAGCTTGAATCGGGGACCGCTAGCACTCGAGGCGGACACCATACCTCGTCCATTCCAGACAATGTTATTACACGTGTGGGCTTTGTTGGGGTAATAGGCTACTTCTCTGCAAGGTCACTGACATCTATCATCCGTGGTTGTGTCTCAAGAGCGGTAAACAAAGATAGCACACGATGTAGCGACTAATTTTGACTCATACATGTTCGTAATCCAAACACAGGTCATATGGTATACCAAGCAAAAATGTCTTCATCTACACTAGCACGTTAAGTTGAACGTATACCCAGGCACCCCTGCATTTAAAATAATACGAGATGTGTAAACAAATACTTAAATAGAGATCTTCTTTACAAGTTTCGGTTCTGCCGAACTTAGCCCCCTCCCAAATTTTTGTAGTGAGGGCTCCTCCGTCCCCTTTCGCTGTTCTTTTGTCAATCACACTCGCCATTGCTGGGGATATGCAATTTAACAGCATAAATAAATTTGACACGCCTCACCGAAAACACCTGGCAATTTCAAAGAAGAATGGCTGCAAATCCAAATCAGAAATCTGCCGCGGCCTCGCAAACAATCGACAGTAAGTTTAAAGTGATCTGATTGTGTTAGCTTCTCTGTGACATGGAGATATTAAGCGAAAATTTGGGCCGTTTTAATTGTTGCATTCTTTAATTTAATTAACGAAATCTATCTGGTTTAAATCATTTCATACTAATAATATTAATTATTATTATATTATTAATAAACACATTCACACACTGCATAGCAACTGAGTGACTACAACTAAAAAGGTCTGAAAACAAAGTGATCGGTTTATCATAAACTTTATGTCTCGTCTGGTTCTCTTTTTCTGTGACATGGATAAATTAATATAATAGTTAATTAAAAAAAAAAAAAAAATAGATAGTGACAGTTAAAGTCAGACTGGCAAACTAGAAGTGCAATCTGCCGTGGTCTCGCAGACAATCGACAGTTACTGAGTTACTTGATATTGTGTTGTTTGTCGTTTTGTGTGTGTAGTACGTTCTTATGTACTGTCACTGTCTATAGCATTGAGAATTTAAATTTAATTAAGCGAAAGTGTCAGTGATTAATTGCTGACTTTAACGGAGTGTGTCAAATTTAAATTTTAGGGTTACACATTTGAACCAGAAGTGGGTCTCCAAGTTGCAGGGAAGTCATGTTTTCCTTATAATGAATGATGTAATTGTTGCCTTTTTTCACTTGCACAACTGGGTGGTGAATTGATACATGACAAGGCAGATGTGGCCAGGGCCCTTTGGAAACAAGCGACTAAATCAGTTGAGAAAGAAGATTATTATGGCCTGAAGAGAATGAGGCACCTGGGTGTAACCAGAGGGTCTGGCCGGCTCACTACACTCAGAGGAAAGGCAGGACAGACTTTTAACCAGATTGTGACTGGTACCATCAGCTGATGAAGATGAGGACGGAGCATGCATGGGAATTCCCCGAGTGCTGTGATGTCAATTCTTGACTCAACTCAACCAGAAGTGTGTTTCAAAAAGCTTTCTGTCCTGTTCTTGTGTCAGGGCAGCTTCATTTTATCCAACAGCTGGCCTGCTGACAAACTTCCAAATACCATGACCTGTTCGCATTTCCAGACCCAGTATTAGAGTAACTTCACTTGTCATTCATGCCTGCTTAAGTAGTAGGACCTCTCCTATGTTGTAGGGGCGTTATGATTTGGCTTGCACTCGGCATATGTAATGTTTGTGGGAGGTTGTGTTGTGAGTCTATTTCAGGTGCCGCAGACGCCTCTTTTCAATTAAGAAGTATTGTAGGGAGGAGCTCGGCAGGCGGGACGATTCTTGGCTATCAAAACTGGGATGTTTTTATATTTCTACATTCATTGGCAGCGGCTTCCTCTCAAGAGAAAGGCAGAAGTTACAAGGAGCGTAGGAAGAGAAAAATATCACTGTTTCCATACTTGCGAACCAGCGCAAGTAGCAGAACGTGAAAATGATCATGCAAGCGAGCCGTGAGAGGACGAGAAAAAAGGCAGCAATTACACCATTCACTATAAGGAAAACATGACCCCTGCAACTTATTAGGAGACGTCCAGCGACATAAGGAGGCATAAATGCCAAGGAAGGTTACTTTAATCCTGGGCCTGTGAACCTGAAAAGCACTCCATATCATTATCCTGATAAAAGGTTACTACAAATCTTCTTGGGTTGTCTTCTTCTACCTCTTTCCATAAATCTGTGAGTTTTGGGATATATTTGTTGTGAAATAAAATAAAAAGAAGAACAAACAATTAGACAAGGATTATAGAGCTGAAAAGAGTTAGGAATTAGGAACCGGCATCACATCACTCAGAAAATTCCAACAAACTCTCCAAACCCCATCTTCATGAAAAATGATCTGGAATTAATTGTTGCCGAAATCCTCCTTCAACAATGTTAACATGACTGATACATTTAAAAGGCTGTTGTGTAACGCCAAGAGTTTTCATCTCACCAGCTCATATCCTGGATTTCGCCTTGTATTCTGGGGCAAAAATATTGATGAGCACGAGTTCATATCCAGATGCACCCGTATACTGAGTTTCCAGAGTATGACACAGCGTTTCCACAGTATTTCACGGTTTAACATAGTGTTTTCACAGTGTTTTCACGGTATAGCACAGTGTTTTCGTGGTATAACACAGTGTTTCTGCATTATAACACAGTGCAGACCGCTTAAAGGGGATCTTGGATGTGAGGAAGTTCTGTTATTAAAAACACTTTGTTTTTCCCTTGGAATTTGTCTTACTGAAACTTTTATCCCGATAAGAAAAATTTCTGATAAGACGAATTATTTCGTGGGTTTCTGGTGAGTTTCCTTATCAGGCCCGCACTGTTAATGTATAAATTTAAATTGTACCTAATAAGTGTGCGAGATATCTGATGAGAAAACATGGTCTGTTATATCTTTGACAGTACTGATGGAGATATCTCGATTGCTGAATACAGGCCTTGATGAAGAAACAATGGCCATATGTCTGAGGCTTTGTGAGAGCGGAGTCAATCCTGAGGCCCTGGCTGAGGTTATCAGAGAGCTGCGACGTGAAACCGCTAATATTAAGGTAGTTTCATCATCTTCCTCTTTGTGTGTTTTGTTTTGCTTTCTGATATCAGGGTTAAAAAAAAGAGTATTTGATTTTTCCTCTGTGTTCACCCATACGGGCAGTTAGCAAATTGTGTTGTGGTTTACACCTAGACTATGATATCTGCAACTTCTGGCACAACTCACCCAATTTTAGCAAATTTCCAATTACTCGCCTCTTATCACCAGTTCTCGTTATGCCTAGTGGCACATGAGGCTTCAGAGAGGACTTTCCATGCTTTCCTGTCCTGTCTTATGGCATGTATAATAGTGGCATGGTTGCGCCCCCCCCCCCCCCCCCCCCACAACTCCTAAAATTAATTCTAGATCCCACAAACAGTTATGGAGTAAGCTTTGATATATATACCTACCTTTTATATATCTCCCTAATACACTGATTTTTTAATATTCTGTGTTGGCTCTGTGTCATCATTTATCAAGCTGATAAGCATGGCCAGTTGTAGCTTGCCATTTCACATCACCAGAATCACAGATCAGTTTTGTGTTTTTCTGATGGCTAGGCCATTTAGATATTCGTCCCTCTCTCTCCTATCTCTCTCTGTTGCTTTTTTCCCTTTAATTTTTGCCAGCTATTACTAATTAACCAAGTTAATTTTCGTAACATGTCCACAAGTTTTCCAAACGTCTAATTTCTTTAATCACTTTATAATTGTCATCCCTCACAAGAAATCTGTATCACTTGTGCAGCCTATCAGGGCATGGTACTCACATAGGCAGACAGATTGGCTGGATCTGCACCACTGGGTGGTCAATTGATACATGACAAGGCAGATGTGGTCAAGGCCCTTTGGTAACAAGCAAGGGAATTAGTAGAAAAACAAGATTATTATGGCCTGGAGAGAATAAGGCACCTGGGTGTAACTAAGAGTCTGGCCGGCTGATTACACTCAGAGGAAAGGCAAGATAGACATATAACCAGATTGTGACCAGTACCATCAGTATTGGAACTCTGCGTTAGCTGCTGAGGATGAGGACGGAGCATGCATGGGAATGCCCTGAGTGCTGTGATGTCAATTCTTGACTCAACTTAACTGATTGATTCATCAGGGCATAGTTTACCTACACACCAGAAGATAAGAAAAGAAAGTGATTTATTTCTGTCTTATGATTTCAGACAGCAGAGCTGCAGGGAACTTCTGGAGATGCTAACACTGGAAGAAGCTGATCTAAGATGTGCTGGAGGCAGGATTACTTTGTTTATATCCGATTTGTGGTCATTCTTTAGGCAAGTATTGAGATGGGTGACACTGGGGAAAGTTGGAAAGGAACAGAGCTGCTAGAAGTTTGTTTTCAGTAGCGTGGAAGAATATCTGTACCGTCAGCGATCTGCAGTGCACAAGACAGAAGGGCATGGGTGGACATAGTACGACATTTTGTGTGTTAGATTTATGAAGTACAAGGTCTCCTTGACTTACGACCCAGTCCCGTACCAACTAACTCGTCATTAGTTGAATTGATATTTTCAGCACTGTTTTTATTGGAACCGCGGTTCCAGACAGTCTGTCATACGCTGTAAGGTCAGACAGACGATGCTGCATTCTAGGCATCGGTTCTGGGAAATTTGCGACTGTACCAATGCAATCATCTTCTTTATATGCTATTTTTATTTATTTTTTGTATTCATAAATCGTGTATGTTAAGGAGAAGGTGCATTACTATTTTTTTTTAATTTGAGGGAAGGTGCTTTTATTTCCAGCAATGGCTGTTCCTACTTAATCTTAACCATTACATAATGTGTTGTCTGACTTTTCTCGTTTGGTCACACATACTAAAGAAATGCAGCTTCCCCAGTGACCATTTCTACAGTCTGTTAAACTGTCATTGCTGTCTGTTTTACCACTTTTTAAGGACGGTGTAGACATGAGGGTCATGAGACTGAGGATTTAGGGCCGCACGGCTAGTGCTGTCGCCACGACTGTGCAGGTTAGGATGCCCCTGACAGAAAAAAATCACCTTATCAGGGTCGAACCCGGGTCTCCCACACAAGAGCCTGATATTGTAACCGCTTGGTCAGCCACTTCTCTGTGTATTAAAGGGAAGAAAACAAAAGGATCCCTTTTTATGCTTTCAGGTGTGGTGAGTATACGGTGTTGATTCAATTTCTGCCTTTTATATAAAACCTTAGCCAAATCATGTCTCAACTTCCAATTTTTTTTTTTTTTTTTTTTTTTTTTTAATATCTAGAAACGAGTTGTTAACCATTTGGCTCTTTACTGTAGATATTGCAACCCTTTGGCCTTGATTCCCCCGATAGATACTGAAAATCTGGGAGAAATGTGGCTTTTCTGCCTACCCCCCGGCGTGAACCCGGACCACAAGGATTTCGACACCCGGTCGCCGCACAGTCAAGTTTAACCAGCTGAGCTAGCGAGCCTCCCCACAACTTTTTATAGACTTGTTCCTCGTTCTGCAAACAAAAAGAGCATGTAAATGTGAAACTTTTTAATAACCACAGGACTGTCTTGAACTGCCAGTTTGTACAGTGTTACCAGACAAGACAATGTAATTTATGTTGTCAGTGTCAAAAATAAAAAATAAAAAATGTGTAATGCTTCATTGTATGTTATGTTGATGTAACTCTTAGGAGTGTACCTGATAAGATACAATGAAATATACCAGATATAAATATTGCAATGTATTGTTTTTGTCCGCATTATTTAAATATGTTACGTACATACATAATATAACCCTTGACCAATTAGGGTTGTGGAGATGTATTGATGGAAGTACTAGCACATAAAACTCGCCATCTTTCTCTGTCTTCTGCTTGATGAATAAGTGTATGATAACTTAGTCCTGTCAATTTCTTGATGTCATTCTAGGTTCTTCTTTGTCCTCCTCTTCTTTGACTACCCCCCAATGTTCCTTGAAGTACAGTCTTTGCAATAAAATCATGTCTCACCACGTGCCCAAACCCAGCTAGCTTGCGACATTTCACCGCTGCCAAGAAAGGCTCCTCAAGTCCTGGAAATTTGTATATTTTGTCTCTGACATATTTATTAGGTTTGTGTTCTAAATAACTAATTTGTAAAATGTGTCTGTAGCATTTATATACGAAAGCCTGAATCCTTCTTTCCATTTCCTCAGTGAGAGTCCAACTCTCACACCCTTATAAGAAAATAGACACCACCAGTGCTAATTTTGCTCTTCCACATTGTATTCAGCTGCGACATCGCGGCTGTTGCCATATCAAGTCTTGCCTTCATCAGTTTGGTACAGCTGCCATCGTTTCATATGTGGGAGCAAAGATATTTAAATATTTTATGAGTGGTTGGATTTTACAGCTTAAGGCTTCCACATTTTTTTCAAGTTGCAACCCCATTTTGTAGAGACAAAAGTTGTCTGCAGTACCAAACATTAACAAACATGCTCTTTAATATCCTCAGTGAAAACACAGAACAAAATGGTGATCAATATAAAACGCTTGTTTTTCCCCACACAGGGAGTGCAATGTTTAGCCTGTTTCTCCCCACACAAGAAGTGCAATGTTTAGCCTGTGTCCCCCACACAGGGAGCGAACTGTTTAGCCTGTGCCCCCCACACAGGGACTGCAATGTTTAGTCTGTCTCCCCACAAAGGGAGTGCAATGTTTAGCCTGTGTTCCCCACACATGGAGTGCAATGTTTAGCCTGTGTCCCCCACACAGGGAGTGCAATGTTTTGCCTGTGTTCCCCACACAGGCAGTGCAATGTTTAGCCTGTTCCCCACACAGGGAGCGAACTGTTTAGCCTGTGCCCCCCACACAGGCAGTGCAATGTTTAGCCTGTGTCCCCCACACAGGGAGCGAACTGTTTAGCCTGTGCCCCCCACACAGGGACTGCAATGTTTAGTCTGTCTCCCCTCAAAGGGAGTGCAATGTTTAGCCTGTGTTCCCCACACATGGAGTGCAATGTTTAGCCTGTGTCTCCCCACAAAGGGAGTGCAATGTTTAGCCTGTGTCCCCCACACAGGGAGAGCAATGTTTAGCCTGTGTCCCCCACACAGGGAGTGCAATGTTTAGCCTGTTCCCCACACAGGGACTGTAGTGTTTAATCTGCTTGGCAAAGACTGATGCTGTCTGGGCAATCCTAGACATGATTTGTGATCTTGACCCCAGGTCACTTAAAATGGATCCTAAATATTTGAAATAATATTAGAATTGAAAATACATAACTTGGTTTAGAATTAGTCTTTGAATACACACTTTTAATAAAATATTAGAAATGCTACTTGGCAAACTAATGAAGGTAACATTGCCTGGTAAGACCACAAAAATTGCTCATAAATGTTGGAGTTGGTGTACAACATCTTGCAAGGGACATGCAACAAACTTGTTTAAAAATCAGTTATTAGAAATATTTATTTAAACATATTTGGGATTGATGTCAATTACTGGTAATAATATAAACACTTTCAGATACCAGGTATAGTATTGAAAAGTTACTGTAATTATTAATATTAACCCAAGAAAGTTTACATTACAAAATACTGTAGTATAGTGTATATCATTTACTAAGAACATGCATTGATAACAGTTATGAGAGAGTTTATACAGAACTTTTCAATACTAGAAAAGATGTATCACAGTATACATTATATTTTGATGTCAGCTGTCAGTTTTATATGTGGGTATATATGTGTGTGTGTATATGTTTACATAATGTGTCTTGATGACTTATGGTGGTCAGCTTTCATATTTCTTCACAACTTATGATCTCTAGCAACATGCATGCATTTTCTCTGCTGACAACCACCCCTGCCACGACAGAAGGCTTTCTTTCTTTAAATGTTTCCAGCTGTCACATGTTCCAGTATTTAGTTTATAGAGTTCCGGTCAAAATGGGCGCTAGGCATGGCCACTGTTTTAGAGTCGTGGCAAATTATTTGCTTCTGCCAGAACGTGGCGGTTGCATTTTTGCTCCATTTGTAGACTGAAAGGATATATTTTCGTCGTCCAGCTACTGAGTGCATGGTGCGACC